CCCCCCCCCGATACCCGGCTCTTCTGCCCCAAACTGTGGTGATGCCCCTCTTTGCCGCAAGCCCCGGCCGCAGGGTGAGGTTGGTCTTTGGCTGATGGGGGGATGTGCCTTGCAGCCAAGCTCAGGGAATGGAGCCTCCCAGCTGCCCTCCTCCTCCTCACGAGGTAGTCGGGAAGCTTGGCCGCATTTGATGCGCGACGTACAGAGAGGAGGAGCAGCCTGGCAGAGGGCATGTGCGGCTGCCAAACCGGGGGGCACATCTCGGATGGAGGGACAAAGGCCTGCCAGCGTAATGGCTCTCGGCATCGTCCTGACAGGAGCCGTTGTCCAGGCTGCGGACCCTTCACAGACGAGGGTGACCCCCGCCTTGGGCACTCACCCTGCCTCCTTGGAAACTCTTTAGGGACAAGGGAGCGATCCTGTCACGCGCTCAATGAGCCAAATACAGTACTTGTGTCAGCAAAATGAAGCACTACCAGTTCTGAGGTTCAGTCTGAGTGGAAAGCAGAAATAGCCCTCATTTAGTATGGAGGCAACAGAAATAGCATTGTCCCCTCTGAGGAAAGCCGGGGGCAGTGAGGTCTCTGAGACAGAGAAAGGAGAGACACTTATGAGATTAAAAGGCCATTCAGCAAAGAGAGAGCAAGGACACAGCACCACAGGGAAAGGGCACACAGCCTTCCACTGCCTGCATGAAACTGCCAGCAGGCAGAGTGGATGGGGGGCACGGGTCCAGCCCCCTCCCTGGCTATGGCAGGGGCTAGACTTGGCTGCTGGGCAGCTCTGGTTTAACTCATCCTGTGCCCATTCCTTTCCAAAGCAAAAGGCATTTACTGGAGCAAGAAGAGATGCACAGACACAAGGCAGCACTGTTCCCCCAGCCCACCCTGCAGCTCTCCCGGGAGCACATCAACACCTTGCAATGTGCCACGCAAAGACTTGGTTACGGGGTTGGGTTGCAGATGCATTGCTGGTTGCCAGCTCAGGTGAGTCAGCCTGATCAGGGCTGATGTGCCACCAGGGAAAACCGCATGTGGGAGGGAGAGGAATCAGCTGGAGACCAGGGTACGTGAATTCCCACAGCTAAAAATGCACCTTGGGGCTTCTGGATGTGAGGTCAGACTGGGATGGTCAGGGCTTCTCAGGTCAAACCAGGGCTGGGACAAACTGCCCCATCACCAAAAGGACCCTGGCCTGAAGCACCACCATTTTCATTCTGTATGCAGACAGAGATCAACTACACATTCCCAGGGTAGAAAATACGAGACAGAGAAGGAAGTGAGTGGAGAACAATCCTTCAACTCTGCCAGCCTCAAATTAGAGGGAAAACTGTAATTGTTTCCAGTAGCAAAACAGTGTGGTTGTGGAGCGGCAGCTGCAGCGCTTACACTTGCAATTAGTCTGGAAAGGGCAATGGGGCTTGGTCAACAAGAAACCCACAGAAGCACCGGGTTTAAAGCTCTGCTGGAGAGAGAAATGTAGCCCTGAATCTGTAAGTAGCCAAGTACAGAAGGGAAGAAAGCAGCACCAGGGAATGACAGCTCATCCACGCTCATCCTCCTGCTGGGATAAGCAACAACTGCAGGCAAGATTAGTCTTGGCAGGCAGGAATGTCAGCACAGAAAAACCCCAGGCTCTGCTTGACCTGAAGCCCCTGAAAAGAGCCTGCCATGCAGGATTAAATGGAAGTACCTGGCAGAGAGGCAGATGGGGTGACAAACACAGCAGGGAGCCCCTGAGCACCAGACGCACCTCGCAACTGGTTGTGATGAGGAGCTGAACTCCCACATTCTGGATTGCACTTGATAAAATCAGCACCTAGGGAAGGACCCACCTCCTGGCTGCTGCCCGCCAGCCTGGGGAAGCTCTGTGGGTCGTGGGAACACGTGGTCCCCTGTTAGTCCAACAGGCAGGGCAGTTTGCGTGGGAAGGAAAGCAAAGCATCCTCTTTCCAGGGCTTTTGCGGTCATTTTGGTCCTCTGTGCCTTGCATAGTATTCTTCAGCTACCCAAGCAAAACACCTCTTGCTGTTTGGTTGCGATATGCCAAGGGAGAAGCCTGAGTAGCACCCTGGATCAGCACAGAGAGGACCTGTTATATACGTGTGTGCGTGCATGTGTGTGTTTTTCTATTTTTTTTTTTTTCACCAGGAGGATGCTGAAGTTAACACTTGTCGTTATAGAGCAGGGAAGGACCAAGAGATGGTCCCGTAGCGTGCATGGGCAGGAGCAAGGCATAGCCCTTCACCAGAGCGCAACGCCTGTGCCCGCACACGTACGCAGAGCTACAGGGACCCTGTTCTCAGCAATCATTCCTTTTTGCCACGTTCCCTATGGCTCTGCTACACACCTGGATGAAGCAACACGACCTACAACATTTCACTGTGTCCCTGAGCCTCAGGGAAAGGCAAATCTTCTTGTGCAGCCAGATTTCCTTTGCTGGTACTGTGCCACGCTTCACTTCTTTCCCTGGCTACTGTCGTATTTCTTTTTAATTCCCCATACAGGTGGCAAAAATGACTATCAAGGTCCATCTCCCCAGCACAGAGAACCATTGTAGCCACTGTATGCCATGAAGTGCAGCCCTGGCTGCATGGCTGGGCCGCTGGCACTGCTGTGAGAGCAAAGTGCTCAGCGGGACGTGGAGAGGAGGGTGTGTGGGAGCTCACAAGTGGGGAGGGGAGGCCGAGCTGCTTCCTCCACGCTGCCCAATGGGCACCAGCTGGGATGCGTGGGATCTCAATTATTATCTTTTTTTTTTAAAGCCAGCCTCATGGAAAACTATAAATTAATCTGCTAATTAAATACTTGGGTGAGACCAGGGATCTTCCAGCCACACATGCAGAGGAGCAGCTATGGCTTCTTCCGTAGGTAATTGGAAGGGATCCAGCCCTCCCAGCACGGCCCCCCAGTCAGGACCTTGCAAAACCACCAGCCGCTGCTGTTCTTCTCGCGAACTTCAAACAAAGTCCCTTCTTTAAAGCTGTTGGTCTCCTCATCGCCTTCAAAATCTGCCACTGCCACATAGAGAGCTTCCCTAGTGATGTCTGGACTGGAGACAGGGGCTGAGGTCCTCTCCTTGGCTTCCCCTCTCTCCACCGGCTTGGATATGACCTTTGGGCTTATGCTGCTTTTCACTTTGGCTTCGTCTTGAATGGAGGCAGAGAGGAACGGCTTGGCTTTCGGAGGAACCAGCATGGGTCTCCCCAGCACCGGGGATGACCTGATTTCAGGTGCTTCCCGTGCTGGGACCCTGAGCTCCACCACAGGGCCGGAGGCAGGACCCCCTGTTTTCTTGGGGGGGGGTGGTCTGCGGGGTGGCACAACAGGGCGCTGTGGTGGGGGCTCTCTGGCACTGGGGATGTTTGCTGGGCCCAGGGGAGATTTGGGCAGCACCTCTTTCATGGCGTGGCTGTCCAGCTTGGGCAGAGGTTTGCTCTCCATGCTTGGTCGCTCCTGAAACCTTCCAGAAGCCTCCATAGAGACCGTGGCGTTACTGAAGGAGCTTTCGCTGGCAGCGGTGTCCTGTTCAGTGGGTTTCTCTGGGCACTTTGCAGGTCTAAGCTTGCTCCGCAGGCTGCAAATGTCCAGTTTATCATCAGCTGGAGGTGGGTCAGTCCGGGGGGCTGCAGCGGGTTTTGGCCTAATCTGAGGTCTCGACTTCAAGAATGGATTCTGGGTGATGGGCTCAGGCTTGTCCTCCACAGGCTCAGCTTTTGGCTTGGTTGGTTTGACAATGGGCCGGAGGTTTGGCTTCTTCACCTCCTTGGCTGACACCTTGTGTCCACATTCCAGTCCCATTTCGTTTTTCAGCTGGAAGAGTTTGCCCTTCTCCGGTTTCAGCTCGGGCTTCTTGCTATCCTTCGGGGCCACAGACTGCTTGGGGGGGATCATGGGCAAAATCATGCCTGGGGGCTTCGGGGGAGGCCTCTGCCTTTCCAGTAACTCACCTTCTGATTTAATGATGGACTCTTTCCTGGGCGGTAGGCTGGGCTTCTCCTCTGGGTCACGGTCTGAGATCTCCTCATAGCCACCAGCCAAGGCCAGGTCCCCACCCTCGGGAGCCTCCTTCCCCTTCCAGTCTTTGGCCCACTTCCCACCACAGTCCGAACCGTTTGGAGGGGCCTCTGGCAGAGGACGGCACGGTCCTGTCGCTTCCTCACTGGCGCTGCTGTCGGCCATGGCATCGCTGAGCCGGAGCTGGGCCATTTCGTTGGGTAGCGGAGCCAGAAAGTTCGGCCTGGATGCGTTGCTGGTTTTCTTGTACTTATCGATGAATGTGGCGGGAGCCCAGCCTTCCTTCTCCTCAATCTGAATGTACCACCAGCCACTCAGGTTCTTCTCAATAACCTGCTGAGGGGAAAGGTAACTTTAGGAGGCCTCTCTGCACAGAAGGGCTGTCTCTGAAATGATGTCAGTGTGGCACATGGCCTCGGTGCCTCTCCATGCTGGTAGCCAAAAGCCATGTAACTACAGGACCTGTATCCTAACAGAAGGGGAACTGGGTAATGACCTCTTCCAGGGAAAGGGATCGAGGAAGGACATAGCCACGCCAAGAAGCTGCAGCTGAGCCGTCACCATCCTGTCCGGGTGACAGGACCGGGAGGCCTGGTACTGGCGGTGGCCACTGTGCGGCACTGTTGGAGCGATCAACGGCAGCGACACCTCACGGATCAGACACTGTCCGGCCTCTGCGTGCTCCAACAGTGGGGCTGGGACCTCGGAGGAGCTGACGGGGGCAGTCAGAAAGGAAAAATCCTCTTGGAGAGGGACAGCTTACATTTTGAAAAGCAAAATCAGATCTGCAAGAGGGATTCTGCCAAGCAAAAGTGGGTGTGCTAAGACAGCTGTTCTGGAAGGCTTTTAACTTTACAACTGGCCTAAATAATAAAAAACCCCACCATCTCTACCCCTATTTGCGATGTGGTTTTAATTTCCACTGGCTCAGACAACACAGCACCCACACACCTGGGGAACAGGATGACACCAAGAGCATCATGGACTCTAAAGTCTCATGAGCTCAAACGGGTTTCTCTCCCACTCTAGAAGAGCCCTGGGATGTCAGTAATCCATAGAGACAATCACATGCACCACCATGCCCAGTTCCCACTCAGAATGCTGTAGTGAGCAGATCTGCCCTGCCTGGAAAGGGAGCTTCTACCTGAAACAGGTCGCAGGGCAATGGGAGCTGGGAGCGCTGCACTGATGTGAAGATGCAAGAAGGGAACGTGACAGTCTCACCTCTACTTTCATTCCTGCCTGAAAGCTGATGCCATCAGGAATGGTGGTCTGGAAGTCAGCGATGGTGTAATACTCCTCTTCCACTTGAGGAGGGACGGGAGGTTTAGGCAGGTTCAAACCACGTGGCTATGATGAGAAAAAGGAAAACCCATCAGCACGTTTCTACAGTTGTGACACAACATCTGCACAGCCCCCCAGCCTGCAGAGACACCAGCCAGCATGGCCAGGCCAGGGAGATCAGCTGTGCCCATGCAGCATCCTCACCAACACAAACCAGCAAACTGTCTCCAGGCTGAGCAGAAAACCGCTCAGCACCAGAGCTGTTCCTGACAGCAGAGTCACCCTCCTCAGAGGGAGGGAGCCGGTCTTGAGCCTCCCACCAGCAACCCAGCCTTGCAGGACAGACTGGCCAAAAGCTCATTTAAATTCCACATGCAAAGAGAGGAGACTTGACCAAAAGCAGAGCCCATGGTACAGGGACAAGATCCCAGGCAAAGAATAACCAGTGAGCAGAGCTCCTTTCAGTGCTCCTCTTCAACTCTCTCTGCCATTGCTGCTTTCATCCATGAGGTGGCACTTACTATGGTGAGATCTCGACGAGGAGGGGGTCTCTGCCTCATCTTTGGTGACTCTGTGGAGGAAGAGATGCTGTTGAGTTTCTGGCTTTTGGTCACATGCGTGTTCACAAAAGACCAGTGAAAGAGAAAACAGAAAGACAAGAACCAAGCCCACCCCATGGGCAAGGAAGGTGAAGGAGGAACCTGTCTGTCCGGTACCCCCAGTGGCATGGGTCACCCAGGTTTCGAGGGCATTCCACTGGAAGACGAACCAGCTTTGAACCATCAGGTGCTGCTGGGAAATGCAGCTGAGGTGACCACATGAAACTGCTTTTTCATTGCAGGCCTGACCCAGAAGACCTGAGCTACAGAGGAGTTAAAATGCCCCAGCTTCAAAGAGGAGCACATCTCCAGCTGAATCTGCAGGCTGGGAGGGGCTCCCCATCAAATTTGCAGACCCCTGGGCAGCATTGTGACTGTGCAATGCCACCTCCAGACCTTGCTGCAGAGCTCACAGTGCCTGCAACCTTTCTGCCTTCCACACCCCCTGTTACATCGCCCAAAAGCCTGCAGGAAAGGCTGTGCTTACACCCCAACACAACCAGCCTCCTCCCAACTGGCCACTTACTGCGTCGGATGTCAGCGCCGGGCAGGGGACGGTTGTCAAATCTCCCATCCCTTTGGCCAGGGAGCCCATCCTTCTCTCGGCTCACCATGACCTGCTGCCGGGAGATGCCATCCAGATCCAAGGCACACGAATGAGCAGAGGAGCCTGACCCCAGCTTCTGTGAGAACATCTCTCCATTCCCCTTCTTGAGGTAGGAGGCAGGGGCCCAGCCTTCTTGGCCCTGGTACCTATGGCGGCAACAACAGCAGCATCACTGCACAGAGCTCCGGGGCCAAGAGGCCTTCCCAGAGGAGCAACCCACTGCATTCGAGTGGCGCTGAGCCACCAGACATCCCTGCAGCCAGAGCTCAGGACATGTTTTGACTGAAGGTACTGTGTGATCTGGGCAAAACGAGCTCGCCCAGTGTCAAGCTCCATGGCACACGGGCACCTGGAGAGTTCTGGCCATGAGGAATGCTACTGCACAAGCCGGCCACAGTCAGCAGGCTGAGTGCTGGGAACATCGCGAAGCCCAATCTCCTTTTTGCCCTGTCAATGGCATAGGTTCAGGAATGAAGCGCATTGGCAGGGGAACCAGAAGGGAAAACCAGAGTGTTGCTGCTAGGATTGATGTACCCGGTCTTTGGAGAGAGCACAAACCCTCTGGCTGTGCACCGGCAGGTGGGATCCCTTTGCTGGTCTAAATCTGCATTGTTTTGGAGAGAAACCAGCTCCATGATCTGATTGAAAAACCACATCCGCAGAGTGTCCCTGACATGCTGGAGGGTCCCACGCCAGCGTCAGAGACTCGCGCCGCTGGCTGAGCTGCAGGCACTACATGCTCAGACGGCACCAGCTACTGAGCTTGTAATTGCCTTCAGAGCTTTCGTGGCAGCTCTCCTTTGCTTAAAAAGTGAACGGACGTTTTTCTGGGGCTTTGCTGCTGCCAAGACCACAGGTTCAACGTAAGGTTAAGAAAACTGCAACATGTGCTCCCACCCTGCTCAAGTCCGGCTGTTTGCTAGACCACAGACAAGAGAAGATGAGCTTCCAGCAGAAAACAAGCATCAGCTCAGGATGATCTGAAGCCTTCAGCCTCAGCACATCCTGCATACAGCAGACCTGGCCTGCACAATGGCCCTTCTCTGCAGGAGCCTCCTAACACAGCCGGAGGATCCAGCCTGTAGGGATGGGGAGAAATGAGCTCTGGTACTCTGCCCTTCCTGATACCCTCAACTTGCCTTTTGGACTGTGCATCCCACGCACTGTGGGTCTGCTTTGCACAGCCCCAGCTGCAGTGCCGGGGAACAGCAAGAGATAGGGACAGTACCTGATTTTCCACCAGCCCTCCAGGTTCTTCTGGATCACCTCCACCACAGCCCCTTTGTCCAGGTTCATTTCATCCTGGTCTCTTGCAGTATACGGGTAAATAACGGTGTATTTCTCCTCTGCAGGAAAAAAGTGGTTTCACAGAGATCTTGCTTAATGGAAACCTGGACTCAGCTGAACAACGGTTGAGTGCTTTATATAATGGTAATTCCTGTTGTAACACAGGTGCAAACACACACAGGTACACAACCATTCAGAAGAGAAATGCCAGTGAAATGTATTTCAAAACAAACCCAGCTGCACTTTGACATGTGCTCCCTCGCCTTGTCCTGTCCTCTCTGGAAGAAACCAGAAAGCAATTGCTTGTGCTTAAGCAGTGCCACATTAGGGTGAAGGCCATTTTGGGAACAGTCCACTTCCAAAAACCCCACACCTCTGGACATTCAGATATTCCCACCACGCAGGCTTCCTGGCTTTGTCTTCCCAGAGAAGCACAGGACTCAAAGGGCCTGATTTACCACCCCCTTCACACCAATGACTCAAAGCAGAAAATGTCCTGTCACATCCAGCAAAACCAAGCTGGCTCTTCTCCTCCTGACCCCATCTGAGCCACCAACCCCAAGTATGCATACATGTGTTGGGGGAAAGCAGAAACTCCAGCCTCTGTACCCAAAACAAGCCTCAAAAAGTTAGAAGGAACCGCTGACAAAGGAAAAAGAGGTGGACATGAGTGGGCCTAGTGGAAGGCTGAGGAGATGTATGGGCACGCACTGAGAACTGACACAAGCAGGGTCCATCACATGCAAAGTGAACAAACATGCAGACAAGGCTCCAAGCACAAAACATGGGCAGCCGAACAAGTCTCTATGAAGTCCACCTTGACCCCATCCACTGGTGTACAAGTCCCCAAGAGTCCGACGGCGGCCAACGTGCCTGGGCAGAGACCAGTATCTCCATGGCACTGGGAAGAGCATGTTGGGGAAGCAGGAGAAGGACAAGAGAGGACATAAGGAGGCGACACTCGAGGCCCAAGAGGAGATGGGGCCGATGGACAGAGACTGTACTCACCTGGAGCCCTCTGGGGTCCTCCCTGGTCTGAACCCCCCTCCCACCTCCATCTCCCAATCAAGGGGCTGAGCCAGCTGCAGCACTACTTTGAGCATACAGTGGTCAACAGGAAGGATGTGTTCTCCAGGGGCATTTCAGGTTTGCTCTAAGCAAATGTTGCAACCTTGCTATTCTCATAATGGGAGCTCATGCATGCTCGTTGTTCTGCATGGGTTTAGAAGACACCTGAATTGTCCTAGGACTTGAGCTTTGCTTCTCCTCCAGTGCAGGTGAAACAGCTCCCTGGGGCCTAAAGGAGGCATTGGGATGGCAGGACTGAGTGTCCCCTGGAGGTAGCACCTTCAGACAGGTCAGCGGTTACACCACCAGTATGCAGCTACCCCACTCCTGCTGCAGCACTGGAGCAGAGCACTGGGCAGGCAGGACCATTATGGGTAGACATGACCCACCAGTATGTGTGAGTTTGCCTTCCCCAGGCTCGTGCCCTGCCTAAGCTGGGGAGGGCTAAGCTGTCCTGCGAGAAGCTCAGCACAAAGAAGCAGGGACAGATGTCTCTAGCAGCTTCTTACCTTCATCAGGCTGCATTGAGAACTCATCCTGGACACCATCCTGGGCCTCCAGGCAGGTCGCTGGCACCCAGCCTTGCTCGTCCGATGTGCTCACAAACCACCAGCCTGAGAAGAAAATAGCAGGCAGCTCAGCCAGGGACTCCCACCAGCCAAAAAATCCCTCTCTCCCTCCCTCCAAACCATGAGCCTGGGGGGGGCTTTGTCCTCTCCTCGCTGCCTACATGGGAGGCTGGGGTGACCCCAAAGCAACAGAGCCAAGCGCTATCTGAACGGGAGCATAGGCAGCAGCACGGGAGGAATCGCAGCTGAATGATATCTGAATGCACAGTTTCCCCCCTACGAAAAAACAGGAGAGGCTCTGAGAACTGAATGGCTCCAGCCCACCACGTTTGCTTTCCTTTTTTTTTTTATCCCTTCATGGTTCATTTTCCCTCAGTCTGGGTCAGCAAGTCCAGGCTAATTAGCAGAGATGAATACACTGTCTGCAAATCGATAGCTGACTCCTGCTGTGCTCTCGCCTTCTTTACATTTGTGGAAACAGCAACTTTTAAAAGCTGAGAGCAAATGCAGGATTAAAACATGAGCTCTCCCAGCGGAAACCTCGCCAGCTCCATAGCGGCCACCAGCAATTCTCTGGGCCACCCTGGGTGTCCAATCAAAATAAATACGTGCTCCTCAGTTAATAAAAGCACAAGCTATTTGTGTCTTTAGGGGGAAAAAAAAATAAAAACTGAGCACTATCCTCAGAACCTCAGCAGTGAGTCATTTAGAAAGACAACTAGATTGTCAGGGAGGGAATCAGCAGTTACCTGCATGGGAGGGAAAACCAGGGCTGACATTTGATGAATAAATTATTTGCCACAGCTTTTGAATCAGCTGTGCTAATAGGTTTCACTTGCTTTAGGGTTGCTTTTATTTTCCCCATTCTCAAACACAGCTGCTGGCACAACTAATCCTCTGGGGAGTGGGTGTCCAGAATTTTAAAAACCATTTTCAAAATTCATCTTTAACCTCCTCCTAAGCAACTTCTATTAAATTCATGGAATTAATTCCCCTTTTCAACAAACTCCAGGAGTGGGGCCCACAATGTGACTCGATCCCTTTGCAGAGGTTAAGAGCGCGTTCAGGTTTTGAAGCAAGCGAATGGCTCAGTTGCCTGCCCCCACTCCGTGGCCGGGTGCTTCATCGTGTTGGGAGGCAGGGACTGCAAATGCACAATGGGGGCTTTCATAGGCACCATGAGCGTATCCCCCGCTGTCGATAAAACAAGCCTGCCAGCCGCGGGAATGGCTTTTGTCCTCAGGACCCATCAGCCGAGTTTTTTAGCACAAAGAAGCACCAAGTTAGACTGTGAAAGATGGACGGCGCCTGGCGCTCCGCACACGGGTAATCGGACCCTTCCTTCAGAGACAGTCCCGACGTCTTGCCAATGCTCATACAGACAGTCTGCAGGCTGAAGCTGCTTTCTCCATGTCCTATCTCAACTGAGCATCCAAGGACATCCCTGTGAGGTGCCTGAAGGCTGTTTTGCTTAAGGTCCTATTAGAAAACCACTAACAATACAGGATTGCTGTTCCTGCCCCTGCTCTGCTATGCAGAGTAGATCTGAAGCCCTCTGCCAAACCAAACTCTCTGTACCTGATTCGTTCTTCTCAATGATATCCACCAACTGGCCCACGCACAAGCTGATCTCGGAGCTCTCCTGCTTCTGGTAGTCCGCCACCACGACATACTGCTCCAGCACCAAGGGGTCGACCGACGCAGAGTCAGCTCCTGCACAGGGGCGACAAGAACCAACCCGTGCGCCGAGGTCAGCACCAGCTCCCGAGAGCACAGGCCACCGCTCCTGAGCACCTGCTGGCCTGCGAGCAGCTCCAGGACACCCTGGGGACCCCAGCGTGAGAGACGTGAGCCAGAAACTTGGGCAGAGTGAGGAGGAGAGAGAACAAACCAGCAGCCAGGTGAGATGGGTACAGCCAGGTGAGATCTTTCACTTGCTACCCACCTTCCTGCTCACAGACAGAGCTGTCCAAGCAACCCCACCACCGCCATGGATGTGCACAGCAGCCTGCTCCCTGCTGTTGGAGGCCAAGGGGGGCTTGGGGCAGCCTCCTGTGCACTGACATCAGCTGCCCCAGTGCATGGCCTAGCTCAGACTCCAACTTGATGCACACAACCTGCCGTGACTTTTGCTGGTCCTGGCTAAAGAGCCTGGACACCCAGGTGGAGAGGTGTTTACAGGACATAGCAGCATCCCCCTGCCATCATTGCCCTTTTGTATTTTAGTCACCTTCTCACAACTCACCAGCACCGTTTGTTCTCTCTGCTATTTGCTCCACTAACTTTGCTCAGCTTCCCCTGCAGGAAAATCCAATTTCATGTCAGAAAAGAAAAAAATCACCCCCAAGGAGGAGAAAAGGGGCAGGATTCACTGGGAGCAAAGTTTTTCTTTGGCCAGAAAGAGCTCTGACAGCCAGAGGAGAGGAGAGTGGCCCTGCAGCAGTGGCTGCGCGGAGGCCAGGCAGGCTGCAGGTGGCACTGCAGGCTGCCGGCTGGGGACACCCGGCAGAAACACCGGCCCCTCCTGTGCCAGGAGACTGGCAGGGCAAGGCTGGCTTGTCTTCTGCAAGCACATTTTCATTTAGGAGAGTGGTCTGTATATAGATGGACCGTCTTCTCTAGGCGTTGCTTGCTGTGGTAGCACTGCAATGGTGGTTTCCACTTGCATCTGTCTCTGCGTTAGGAGCCAAGGTTGTCCCTACACACAGAGCAAAACGAGCCTTTTCCCACACTTGCACAGAGCCCTGATGTGTCCAGGGAGACCATGCAGTGACCCTGGGCTTTGCAGTCTCTGAGAGCAGACGCTCTGTGGCTCAGTGCTGAGCCCAGACTCTCCAGCTCCACCAAGCTCAGGCTCAGTCTTCTCCTAAACGACCCAAAAGGCATCTGGCTCCCCAGAGCACCAGCAGCAGTTGCCCCATCTGCCTCCAAAAGCCTCCAAAAAGCAAAAAGGTGTCGTAAACCCTTGCTCACAACTCCCTCCACCCTGAGCCCTGGCTCAGGCCTTCCAACCCAACACTCTGCCTTGCAGCTTCACAACCTGTCAGATGAGGACACTGTTGTACCACCTCACTCTCCCCAGATGCGATAAGAATAAATTAGTATTTGCCAAGTGCTTTGGATATAGGAACATATAACTACATAATGAGTGATACAAAAGAATCACACATCTGATCATGAGTGTTAAGTCAAATTTACAGGGGCTGCGCATGTTCTCTGAGCTTGGAGCCTTAAGTTTTGGGTTGGAGGCAGAAATCACATCTGGCCCAGGCCTCTAGCTGCTACAGCATGGCAGATACATGGGATGAGCACCTCCCAGACTCTGAGGGGTAAAGGAAAGAAATGATGTAGAGAATGATAGTCCCTTGAGATAAAAAGGCAAAATGAGGCAAAGACAAATTCAGGCTACATATCTGGAAGAAGTTTCTATGGGCACATGCACCTACACTGCAACCCCATCAGCTGAGAGGTCTCAGCCTGACAAAAGATCTTTCCCATGGGGGAATCTGCTGCAGGGCACAATCCTGCAATGAGCAGCACGAGATAAATGAATAGAGATGAACAAGATCTAGCAGGTCTCCAGCAACTCTAGGATGCTCTGTTCCCCCACAGAGAAGTTCTCCTGTGCCCAAGGTCACAACCTCTCAAACTGGTTCTGAGAAAGAAAGACCACAACAAAGACTTAAATGAACAATCTTCATGACAGTCTTATATAAAGACAAGGCAAATTTTCTGTTATTCTGCTATAAACTGCACTCTGCAGAGCTCCAGGTGAGCTGGCCAGGCGCAGTGGATCTGCTACCGCTAATGAAAGCTTCCTCCATTCCAAAACCCAGAGGTGGGGCACCAGACAGGATTAAAAATAGCCCTCTAAAGTGAAAGGTGGATGCTAGGACTATCTGTTCTACTAGCTCAATTAAAGGTTTGTGCTTAAAGTGATCAGAGGCTCTTCCCAGCCCCTGAGAGAAGAAAAACAGCTATAGGAAGAAGTACTCTCCTTTCTGCCTCCCTCGCTGTAATTACACCTGTTGCTCAGAGGCTATTTGTAGTTTCAGCAGGCAATTCTGGATCCTCCAATGTACCTATTAAACCAACAACAGAAGTGGTAAACCAAGCTTGCAGGAAGAAGTAGGAGTTAATTTCAGGAGCATCTTCACCTGGCATAATTGTCCTCAACCACAAAAATACACGCTCAAGTTAACAACAAAACATGCTATTTATGGGCAGACTTGGTCTCTTAAAAATAGCAATGGTGTAAACCTTGCTGTCTGAGATGAGAGACGGTACTAAAGCTCTGCAGCTGGGGAGGGGAGGACACATTAGTGCAGTCCAGAGACAAGACAGCCATAGGCAGGAGCACCCCACACTTGTAAGACTGACACAAACGTGGCCTAGAGTGGGTGTGCATTGAGTCCAGAGGCCACTGTGGTCTTTGGGCTGCACTTGCAGGACTGATGCTTGTGGTGGATGCAGGAGAGCCACCAGGAAACGCATTCAGCTCTGTAAGCAGGAGTTGTCTCCAGGCACTGCACGTCCCAGCTCCTGACCCCAGGACTGCTGGGTGCAATGACCTTGCTCTCCAGACACCTCACACACGGGTCAGCCTGCAAATCTCTGCAGGTTTTGTTCGACCAGGAACTTGGCCATTCACTTAAAGTGTTGAGATGTACAAAACCAGTAGGAAATCTCACAGATGTGGGGTTGTTTGCGACGCTCCCAGCCTTTCCAATCAGTGCCAAAAGTGAGGACTTTCTTATGGGGCTTAGGTACTGGTGCCTCCAGAGGGAAACAAAGAGCTCAGGACTGAAATACAAGAGGTGGCACAGGTGCTTGTTTTTGAAGCTGGCCCTTGCTGTACACTCCAGCCCTTGCCTACTGCAGCTTCCAAAAATGTCATACTTTAGATAAAGTTTCTTCCTCCTGGTCCTCCATGCTAGTCAGACTCAGTGCTCTCAGGACAGCCCCTCCTCTTCCAGACCTGATGAGTTTGTGAAGATCAGCACTGCAAAAGGGAGCTGTTTCCTGCTCTCACATGAAATGAGCACTAGATATTGTGCTGCCCTCTTTGCAAGTCCTCTCATCTCTCCAGGGGCTTTTCCAGAACTGGAAAATAATCACAGGGAAATACCATCCATCAGTTTTAGAAAGGTCCCCCTAAGGCTGCTGGAGGATATGACAGCTATGTTTTCACTGTCTCTCATTAGACTGAATACTGGGGTCTGGGGTCTCTACACCATCGCAAGCACATTACATAGCACAGCAAAAGTCCTGTGTCCACACAAGAAAGCATCTAAAGTAAAACTGGCAGTGAGATACTGGAGCTCTCTGCCAGTCTCCTTGGGCAGCTCCACCCAAATGGAAACTGTGGAGACATTTTCAGGCTTCCCTGTACTAAGTCAGTGTTACAACGAACCCATGACTTCCCATCTGTGCTTTCTGCTGAATTGCGAGAGGAGTGAACAGAAATGTTCAAAACAGTCCTGGGGACTGATATGATGACTACTTTTAGACGTACCTAAATTTCTGTCCACGTCAGTCTTCAGAGCCCAGGGAATAATCCACCCCCCTGCAAGCTGCAGGCTGCACGGAGCCTGGGCCCACATCTAAGGCTCACGGACGTGGGATTACAAATACTGGTAAAAAAGTCAGCAGAGGAACCAGATTTTCTTTCCAGTGCTCACTTACACTGGGCCATCCTCGCAACAGCAAATGTCATTTGAGTCTCTTGGTCACCGTGGAGGCTCAGGGCAGGCAGCACTTTAACCCACTTGGCATCCCAGTGTTTGCTTAAATCTCATTTCAAAACAGTGTTTGCTGTGCCAGGAGCTTTGGAGCTCTTTCCAACACTCTCCAGAAGAGCTGCTCACCCCCTCTCTGGCAGCGCTGTGAGAAATAAGTAAACAATCGTTGGGAAACAATCCGCACCGGTTTTGTTTCTGAGCAGCTATTGCTTGCCCCCTCCTCAAGGACATCCCCTATTGAAAGAGCCTTTTGTGTGCCTTGCTGTATATTCGCTACCTCAAAGCAGTCCTGGCTTGAGGAACTGATAAACTATCAGGGACCTCCACAAGGTGGAAGAGGATTCAGGGTGACAACAGCAGAATCAAACAGTTGCTGCTGCCAGAAAATGCAAGGCAGTGAAAGGAGCCTCTGAATACATCTGGCACAAGGCATCGGCCCTTTGCAACCTCACTGCATGCAAACATCTTTCCCTGACGGCTGCTGCATGTACGCCAGGTGCCATGGGCAGAACATCGCATCCTGCCTTGCCAGTGCAGGCTCGGGTTTGGATGTTACCCAAAATCTCTCTGTTCCTTCTGTCTCAGTGGTGCCAAGCAAACAGCATCTCAAGGACCATTTTCTCTTTGACCTCAGCAGCACCCCTGTGTTATGTATAAACCCACCATGCCGACAGGACGGCAGAGCGAAGCTCCCCATAAACCTGCAGATGAAAGGCAGAACAAAGCTCTGTACACAAAGAGGAGAAAAGCTCCTGCTTCTCTAGCAGCCAGCAGCTTAACATTGAATTCTGCCCGCAAAGAACTGAGTTACGCAGCAGAAATTTTCTTTCTCTTCTCCTCAACCCTAGAGAGGTTTTCTTTTATCTTGCCAGATGTAAGTGGACTGGGTTCAAAGTGATCTAAACACACAGTGATCTCGCAGGGAAACGTAACACCTTTCCCTTACTCACCAAATGTTCCTGCTGAGCCAGCACACAAGAGGAGTTTTCAAGGCGAGGGAGATTTTACCTCTGTTTTATCAAGAGAGGTGAAGGAAACAAATTGCAGTCAGTTTTTGTCCCCGTCCACAGCCAGACATTTCTCTTTGCCTCCAAAGCTCTCCTATCACTTCAGCACATGAAAGCTCATACAGAAACTGCAGTCTGTGCTTGCTAATGGCTCCTGAAAGCTATAAAATGACCATGCCAAGGTCCAGCTTTCACAGACGCACCTTGCAGCAGTCAGAATTTGAGGAGAAAATGTCGACAAAAGGTTTCAACCATACTGGTAAACTCCTGCTGGTCAGTCAGGAGAGCACCCAGTTGTTCAAGCAGACAACAGCTGAGCTTTTCATATGCATCCTACAGCTACTCTCAGGTAAGAGGCTGGGACACCATCAGTTCTCAAGGGAGGGGTGCCCTGCAGATCCAGTAGAAAAGAAAGAGGAATTAGTCTTCGAGTCTCCCCTGCAACTTTTGCCTCTCCTCCTAGAGGAACCCACTCATCTACACGTGAATTTGCTTATGCAGCTTACAGCAATGCCAACTCTCAGGCCAAAAACCTTTCCACAGCCTACTTCCACAGAATCTCCCTCCAGCCAAGACTCAAGCCTTCCTTCCCAAAGACCCTCATGCTACTTTCGTACCTTCTGTGGCTTCAGTAGCTGAAAGGTGCCCTCCACAATCCACAGACTGAAGGCTCTTCCCCTCCTCTCTCCTCCTCTTTCTGGGGAGCTCAGATAACTGCTAAAACACACCAGTGAGGGAGTCTCTCAGAGATGTTCCCCACTACGGAGGAGCAGGAGTAGAACACTGCAGATCAAACCATTCACCCAAAGGGTCCCAGCTGGTGCAATCATGAAGCAGAACCTACCACTGCATTGCGGGACTTTCAGCCTCACGCTGACCACCACAGAACTCAGACCCTCCTCCCGACTTGGGAAGTTTTGCATCCTCATCCTCCTGGCTGCAGACCAAGCCCTGCCCTTCACCCTAGATCTGAGAGACAGCCCCTGCGAGCTGTACCGATAGCCAAGCGCCAGTCCCCAGCCCACTGTACCTCCTCTCCACTACTGCCTCGTGTCCACCAGCCACCACAGAAAGCTATGGGCGACGTGACAGCTTCTTGCAAGGGGCTTTTGCCCACCCAGCCCGAGCAGGTGTCCCCCCGGCGAAAGGCAAAGCAAGAGCAAGGGCCGGGTAGCGAGCGGCTGTTACTACCTCTCTGCAGGAAAGAGGCCGTTCTCTGGATAAACCCTGATGGAGGAACAAAACGACGGGAGACAAGGCATGAGGCGGGGAGGGAAACAAACTCAGGGTGACACTAATGGTGGCAACAAGTGAACAGGGAGGCCAGTACAGCGTGGAGAGCTGCAGGCATCTGTCCCACCTTTGGGAGCACCGCAGGAGGCGCAGGGGATGTGAGACCGGGACTTGGAGGCCGCAGTGAAACCCTGGGTGGATGGAGGGGGCATGCCGTGATGGGGAGCCCTGTGGGGGAGCACAGCCTGAGGCTGGCTCACCATGGGGCCAGACCCTCGCCCCACTCCAGGAGACCACGGCTGTGGGCGGAAGGAGGAGCTGGTGGAACCGGCAGAGAGGAAAGGAGTCCTTACCAGACCTCTTCTTTCCAACGGGCTCCCTGAAAAAGAGAAGGAAGAGCGCCA